CATATTTTGGAGATTTTTTAAAACTTTTTTTTTTTAAATTCTTTTTTTTGGCACATCTTCTGACTCTTAAGTCTCTGAGTCTTGACTGAGCTGCAGGGGGGATGCTCAGAACTTACCTGATATGGAGAAGGCATATGAGGGAAGGGGAATGCAAACCCAGACCAGATAGATCCTGAAAATGTGACATACACTGAATACTTAGATATACAAATACAACAATTGCTGCAGAGATGGTTGATTAAAAAAAACAACTCAGCAGGAACAATAAGCACACTATGCTTCTTGCATAATAGCTGAGTGGTTTGACATTTTGGGGAAGAGGGGAAGTTGTCCTTATTCCAAGACTCCACTGCACTTTAGTCCACATTTCATCCTGTTCTTCTCTAGTCTAAAATGTGTAGATTCTTCAGGGAATAAGGATTTGAACACTGTTGCCTCATTCCCATTACTTAAAAGCTAGGCTAAAAAGCCCTCAGATTTCTTTTCTTTACTGAGTTCCTGAGTGTCACCTCCTTATAGCCACAGTGGCAATTCACTATTTTCTTGAAAAATGGAATATCTGAAAAAGGCTGAGAGGGACCAAAAGCCATCCATCCCCCTTCATGGGAAACTGCTGTAGCATGGTTCTGTCACACAGAAAGGTTGGTCTTAGAACAATCCACTGTCTATCTTCCCCAGTGTTACTGAAGAACAGTGGGCATCAGATGATCGCCCAGAGCAGAGAAGCCTGCTCTCAGTCCCTGGGACTTTCTACGCTGTAGCTTGCAGAAACCTCTCCCTTTGGCAAAGTTTCTTTCCCCTTCTAAGTAACTGACCCTCCCCAAGCTACTACAAAGGCTGTCTAAGAGCTTACTGCTCTGTATAATCCTGCAATGCTCAAGTGTCCAATATTAGGCAAGATGGTGTCTAGTTTGAGGGTACCTAAAATTACTCTTCTTGCATAGAGGAAAGGAAAAAAAAGCATATGTCAAAAAAATAAATAAAAGCAGCCTGTCAGAATTGTCTGCAGGTGAAAAAAACCCCTACCATGAATTCCAGATGCAATCCCAACTGACTGTTTCCCAGCACTGCCTATTACTGTGAGCAACTCTCTGCTGAACCTGAAAGCTCCTCAGGCATTTAACTATATTCACCCACACATGTTAAGGAGATCCTGTTCTGAGAAGATAGGCACTTATCTCTTGCCTCAAGTCCCAGTACAATCCAGCTTAGGAAGACAGGCATTTAAATCCCTTCTAGAAGCCTGAAAAATTAGCAGCAGTCAGAATTACGTCTGGCTTTTTCCGACATGGGCCATCAGCTTCCACATAGGTGCAGAGGGCTGAGAGCATGACTTGAGCTAAGCACAGGAGTGCAAGTGTACATTTTACCATTAGAGAGGGACTGATGTGTCACTGACATCTTACAAGACTACCCCAAGTATTACACCATGCTTAGGCAGAAAACATCAATCGCTCCTTCTGTGTGTGGATACGAGGAGTTGTTTGCTCCAGTTCTCATCTCAAAAGAAAAAACAAGGGGAGCAAACTCACATGTGGAAAAGATATGTAATACAGGAGACAAGGAAAACAAAGCATAACCTTGTAACTGGTCACCCTGTGCCAGAGAGCATCTGGAACGCTAGGCCAACCTTGGGTTTTTGTCTTCTGTGATGTGGCCTTGTGCCTCATGTGTTCCAGGCTGCATAGGCGCTCAGCTGCAACACCTACCATCCACACTACCCGATGGTTGCTGATTATGCCATTCTGCTGGGAAGTTGGAGCTCAGGGCTAAATTAGTCTAAAAACATCACCCACTTCCTTTCTTACAAGTTTTTGCATCTTTACGCAAAATGTGGGTGGAAGCACTGTGATCTCATTAACGTCAGTCCTGCAGTAGGGATAGAGAGGCTGGATCCTGTGTCGATGGAGTGCTAGGAGTGTTTCAGATGGGTTTGCAAGAGGATATCAGTGCTCTAGATGCAGGCTGGCTTTGCTCACTGGCACTGTGGGTTCACTTGCAGTCAATGGAAAGAAGGAGGCACTCTAAGTGCCTCAAAGAAAGCTGTCATTTTCTGCAGGTCTTCAGAAGTGCCTCTCTCTGTGTCCTCTGCCCATACAGCAAAGCTGAGGAATTAGATTGCTCCTTTTGTCCCTTCCAGGGCTAAGACACATAAACTTTCATTGAGGTAATAATGTCTCAGTGAAGTATCTAAAGTAGATGGATGAGATTCCAGCCTGAATACTTGAGGCTTTGCAGTAAATGACTGCAAGAAAAAAAACAGTGTCAATAAGAAGATGCAAGCTGTTGAAAACCAAAGAAAAGAAAGTATTGATTAAAATGAGGCTCTATTAGAAGACTGATTTAAAAATAATCAAAGACTACAGCCTTTTGTAATTTTCATTCCTCCTCCATGCCCCATAAGCCTTTATAAAAAAATAGTTTAATATATTGTTGGAAAAAATTTTCCTTATCTTTTCTGTGAGGCTGTGACTCATAAACTATGGAGGGCTGAAAATCATTGTAACACACTGAGAAAAAGCAGTGGGTCCAATAAGACTGTAATGTTAACCCATCAGTTTTCCCTCAGTCTAATTCCTTGGATAGCATTGTCTGAAAAAAAGACAGAGAAGTATTTATTGCAGTAGCTTGAATATGCATCAATTGATTTTATTATACTAGAAAACCTGAGAAAGTATGGTTTATTTATATACAGATTGTGTAAATACACTGTAGGCAAGTTTCACATTTTAATGTTGAAAGAGCTTTCATTAATGGTGTAGTTCTGAGAAAAGGATGTAAAGCAACATAAAAGAGTCAAGATTTGATTTTTACAGAGATAAGTTGAAAGAATAATTCACCTTTAGTAAAAGTGTTTCTTCTTTCATGTTGTTTTATGTGTTGCTCTTTCTACTACTCCATGCATGGTTGCAGAAAATATACATTAAGAATGAATCCCTCATTGATGTGACTTAATGATGTCTATCATTTATGTTTGCCTAATTCTATGTGTTAATAAAAAAAAATAATAATCACCAGAGATCCATAAAATTAAATGGTTGGTTTTGTCCCAGAGCAACTACACACTATGCTTTTACTTTATGTGCATTTCTGACAGAAGATATGAAGTCAGTTCTGCTGAGCAATGTAATCTGATACTGAAAAATATGTTGTTAATTGTATTTTTTTTTAGAAAGTATAGAGTGGGTTGTTTTTTGTTTTGTTTTTTTTTTAAAGGCTAGGAGATTACATTTCAAATACACTTCCAGAACTTTGTATGGCTCCCCATCTTTCTCAGAGACAAAAAGTTACCTGAAGATTTGAAACTGAATTTATCGGCCAACGTCCCCTATTGTTCAATGACCGATATTTGGTTTGTATCGATACTGAGGCTCATCTGCATTTTTGAAAACTCACCAGTTCTGTGAATGAAAACCACGACATCAGGACTAGGCACTCTATTTCCTACAGTCGAAACCAGTCACCTACCAGAAGAACTGGTAGACAGGACCCACATTTCTGTCCTGAATACTCAGACTAAGTTCTCAAACTAAGGCTGAGGACAGAAAACTAACGAAACTTTCGAGTTATAGCATGCGATATACCAGTTATCATTGTAAAGAAGGTATTCATCAGACAGGTGTAAAATTCCGGCTCCTGAGGTAGGAAGGCTCCGTACTCTGAGCTACATTCGGAGAAATCGGTACCTGTAACTGAGACTTCGAGAGGGGTGAGCCTGAGGGATGCCCGAGGTGACGGGGCCCTGCCCAGACCCAGCGATGCCGTGGGAATCCGCAGAAGCCCCTCATTTGTGCCAGAGTGAAGGGACAACCCCATGAGCGCTTTCAGACACGGGATCCTGAAACAACGCCGGGTGCCCCACTCCGCCTAGGCACCGACTGCTCCTAGCTGTCACAGACCTGGAAGCAGGAGTCTCTGCGCCCCAACCCCGGCGGCCTTCCCGGGCGGGCTGTCACGCCGCCGCCCCCGCCTCCCCCCTCGCTGCTGGGTCGCGCACGCCGCCCCTCTCCGTCTCCCCCTGCCCAGCTGCTCGGCCGTCCCGGCGGGGGCTGAGCCGCCGCGCCGTCGCTGCCACCGCCGCCGCCGAGGCCGGTCTGCCCGCCGCCGCCCCTTCCCTTCCCTTCCCCCGCCACCGCACATGCCCAGAAGGGCGGGAGCCGCGGCGAGCCCGGGCGCTGCGGTGACAGCGGCGGCGCTTTCCCTTCCGTGGGTGGGTGGGGGCCGCGCCGCGCCCCCTGGCCCGGCCCGGCCCGGCGGAAACAGCGCGCCGGCCGCCTGCTCGCCCAGTGCCTTCCCCGCCGCGCCCCGAGCCCGCTGCCGCCGCGGGGCGGGAGGCGGCCATGTCGCTATTGTCTGCGCTGGTGCCCTTGCTCCGGGTGTACTGCATCGGCCTCCGCGTCATCCTGCACCAGCTGCGCCGCCGCTTCCAGCCGCGCTGCGCCCCGACCTCAGGTGAGCACCGCAGCTGGCGCCGCGGGGCGGGGCGGGGCGGCTCCGGGCCGGGGGGCGGCAGCCCCCGCCGCGGAGAGGGGAAAGTTTGCCGCGCCTCCCCCCACCCACCACGGGCAGGCGGCAGTTCCGGGGCCCTGGGGCCGACACCGCGCGGCCCAGCCGGGAGCGGCCGGACAGTGAAGGGAAGGGAAGAACAGGGCAGCCACGACCTTGGCTGTAACGCGGGGTGCCCGGGCCGTGCCGCATCTCCCGCAGCGGGGCAGGGGCTGAGGCACCGCGGCGGCCTCAGCACGGGCGCCGCCGCCGGACTCCTCCCCTGCTTCCCTGTGCCGGCCGAGCAGGACCCGCCGCCTTCCCGAGGGCAGCGGTCCCGGGGGGGCTGCGACTGGCGGGGCGCCCTGCCCCTCCCCGCCGCACCCCGCCCTCGCTCCCGGCACCAGGCCCCGGCCCCACCGCCCCGTCCGGGCCGCGGCCGCCCCGGACGCGAGGCGGGGCGGGGCAGGGGGCCGGGCCCGGGACGGGCGCCTGGCTGCATGCCGGCCTGACTTGTGGCCTCGGGAGGCGGCGTGGGGGCTCCGTGGGCCGGGGGTCCCCGCTTCTCCTCTTCCTCTCTTTGGCTCTCTGACAGTGTCTCCTGAGACCTCGGCTCAGAGCCGCGCGGGCGCTCCCTCCCTCAGCCCAGGTAGGTGCTTGGAAGGCGGGTAGCGGCGGGCACCTTCCCCGACCCGGGCGCTCCTGCCACCGCCGCCCGCTGTGCCACCACCCCACCGGGACCGCCGCTTTCGGCTTCCCTGTCCCGGCTGCTTCAGGAGGGGAACATACCTGTACTCCAGAAGCTTAGTATTTGATATCGTCTGACAGTCGCTGATAGCCTTTAAGCTGACAAGTGAGTGACACTTGTAGTTTTTTCTAAGGGACGTTAGGTTAGTCGTGGATTTGAGAAGTTAGGTTTTTGCACTTTTCTGATTTGGATCAACAGCGTGATAAATGCTGACTTAGGGGAAACTTAGTCAGAAAAAGAATGATCTGCTTACATTACTCTTGAAAAGTAAAATGTTTCTAAACTTACAGACTTAGAGCAAACTCTGAGTTTGGGCAGATGTTATCGTCAGAGCTGACCATATAGCTGCATTGATGTCCATGCCTTTAACTTTTGCTCTTTATCAGCAAGTGAGCCTTTGTGGTCCTGTCGATAGTTTTAACCAGAGGAACAGTAAAAAAAGTAATATTGCAAGGGCCTAGTGCTTCAGTAAGGAATTCAGGCAGATGAGAACATTGGTATAGAGAGTATCTGAAATACTAGGAAGGTGATGGAAGAAGTACACCACACATTAGGAGCTTATTTGTTCATTTTATCACATGTCGCATCCCTGGGTAGTGTTTTGTCTACTTTTTTTTCATTCCTGATTCTTCTGCTGGGATTCCTTTTCTCATTCTCAAAAGGCAGCAACGAAACCCTCAAACAAATGAGAGGACCCTGGTGACAAAAATGGCAGATGTGCATATGGTTTGAAGTCATCTGAGCGTTTTTCTAGCATTAGCGTTTCTTGGCAGAGGAAATTTGGGTATTTTGCCTAGGGTGTGTAACACTTTCCAGATCTTTTTTCGAACCACAGAGAAACAGCATGACGAAAGTGTGACCCAGTGTTTTGTTGCACTGTGCTCTTTGCTGCTATTGAAAAAAAAAGTGTTGAATTTGGAAATGCCAGAGAAAGGCAATAAAGATCCAACCTAGGAAATGTCACTTGCCTAAGTGGGAACAAGGCAGATTTGACAGATGTGAAAAGTTTTCTTTGAGCCCTGACTTGGGATGTTTTTTTTCCAAGGGCAAGTGGTTTCTTCCTCAGCTAGTTGTTTGTACGCAGTTCCCTCTTGGCAGTTACCTGCTGCCTTGCTTTCACTCGCTGTGTCCAGCTGTTGTTTAAAGTGATTCACCTTAACAACTGGAACCCTTTCCCCCAGCTGAACCTGCTTTCCATTATTAACTTCAAAATAGTGATGTCAATGCAACAAAAAGCAAAACTCTTGTTATAACAAATTTGAATCAGTAAACTACAGTTCCTGTATGAAAACCCTGAGTAGCTTTTTCAGATGGTAATCTAGAGAGGTGTGTATGTTTAAAATTTTCTGTATCTTTTTGAGGGGTTGTCCGTAACTCTCAAAAGTGAAGGCATTTTATTGTCAGAGTGCCTTCCAGGGATGAGCTTGGAGTGGCAAAGGGGAGCTGGGAAGGACAGGACAGGGAGACAGAGATAGCCATTCCTCTGATCTTGGCTTCCTTGGCCCCAGTTTCCATTTCAGAGTTCCCACTCTCTGTGCAGCAGCGCTGCAGATCTCTCTTGGAAGATTTAAAAGAGAGAGATGTCTGCTGGATTGTCCTTTAGCTCCGTGGATGAGTGAAAGGTCTCAGTGCAGCCCTTCTGCCTCTTAATTTTCCAAGAAAAACTTGGTTTCTTATCCTTGTCGTGAAGAAGTGCTCAGGAATTTAATCCAAGTAAACAAAACCAGTTTCACTTTTATTTTTCCTTACTCTAACTTAAGAGTTGCATGCTCTTGGCACGTGTTCTTTTAAAAGTAACCCATGTATTCTTTCACATCCTACTAGAGTTAATCTGCTTTTTATTGATGGAATTCAAGACTTTTTTTTTGGGAAAGAGTTTGGGGTCTGAAATCTAGGTACAGTACAAAAACTTGGTAATTGTTTTGCGTTGCAAGCTGAAAAAATGGTAACATTCTCTATTCAAGTGAATATCCCCCACTTCAACACAGAGTAGGGAAGTTCACCTGAAATTCTGATCTTGAAGCTCAGGGAAGGAAAATACAGAGCTGAAACTACATACAGGGTGTGCAGTCACCGATTGCTTCACTAACTAAAATCAACATAGAAGAAAGTGCAAGAAATAAAGGGGAACTTCAGTTAAACTTAAAAATATTTCTCCAAGTACTAATTGCATAAACAGTATAACTGCTAATATGTAGTTTTATTGTTCGGTGGTTTAAATTATTAATAATTTTCTTAGAAATTACTGCTTGGACTTCTTTGCAGTGCTTAATCTTGATTAATTGGAAGGAGGAAAAAAGCCCTGCATGACTAAAGTTCTTGATTAAAACAGTTTTTTAAAAACACAAATCTAATCAGTGGATTGATAAAAGATAAACTAATATTAATTGTGACACCAGGATATTACCAGTGGAAATGTGATCACCAAAAGTCATCCTACTGATAAGAAAAATGGTTCATATAATTAAAATCTTCTCAGGGAATTTATTTGGCATCTTCCTCCTGCATTTTTTCTTCTACTGTACATATTTAATTGAAATTTGGTAGGGGAAACCTAAATCCTGAGTGTTGTGTAGTACTTTTGAAGTCTTTGTAGTTAAATTTGGAACCTGTAATGCCTGTAATGTGTAGAAAACTGTATCTGAAGATAATGGTTATGTGGATTAAGTTAAAGAGACCTTAAAGGTGACTCCTGTTCTTTTTAAAAGTGATTGAAATTTCATACTTTTTTTTATTTCCTCAATTTTTAGTTACTCAATATCCTCATTTGTACCAAGTTTCTTTACAGTTGTGAAATGTTGATTTAGGATCATGCATCTCTTAATTTTGATTCATATTTTGAGGGCTCTTTATAGGAGCAAAGCGTAGTGAGAGCACTTCCTGCTCTAAGTCGTGTGAGCTCCAGGTTGTAAATCATCCAGAGGTGGGTAGAGAACTGACCAAGTAGGAAGGATTGATGGCAGGCAAAAATGCAGTTGCATCAAGCAGTTAAACCCTCTCCCCACGCATGCCCCTAAAAATGTTGTTTAGTTTTAGGATGAGGAATCACTTGCTTTATGGTTGCCCCTCTGCTGACTGAGGCAGAGGCTGTGGGACGAGGATACTCACAGGGTACCATTGCTGTGCATGCACAGGGAGGCAGAGCTAAGGTTGTAGGGTGTCTGCACACCCCACATTTTCTCACATCCCCATGCTTGGTCTCACATTCCAAGTGACTGTCATGCTGGTTTTGGAGCAATTTTGAAGCTGAGCCCTGCCTGCAAGAGTAGCATGGCTGTGCTCCACGACACAAGTCAATGCTAGCATTAATATTTTAGCCCAAGGCCTGCCCTGGAGAGGGAAGTCAAGGGTTTGTGTTAAGGAGAATGAGACAGGGGGTCTGAGAAGCATGAGGAGACAGCACAGCCTGCCTCAAGAACAGCAGGGGTGAGGTGCTAGGGCCAGAAAGTCTGGACTCTTCCTCCTCCTGTGGCAGCAGAGTTCACTGCAAAGCCCACAGAGCTGATCCTCTCTGCCAGCTCTTAGAAGCCTTGGTCCCAGTACTGGTGGTGTTGGCCAGCTGCATGGAGGAGGCAAGGGAAAGAAACAGCAGCTTCTCCAGAGCTGCTCTCCTGTGGGTGGGAATTCAGGATTGCTGTTGATTTTGCCAGGACTAGACTATGAGCACTTTTCCACTGAAAGTGGAAAAGTTTACCTCTTCTTGAAGTAAAATGAGAGGTGTGGGGTTTTTGATTTGTGTTTGTAATACCAGTTATGCTGCATAACACTTGATGAGAGGCAGGGATGATGGGAAGTTTATACTTGAGCTTTTACTGAAGGCTGTATTATACTGGCATATCCTTAGCTGTGGCAATGCTACTCTGGGCCACTATTGCCAAGTGCCTGATATATCACAAAATGAAAGCAAAGCTGTGACATACATACAGAATGAAGAGTGGGGTGAGTCTGTAACACTCCCATAAATCTGAAATAACTTCTACTTTGTCAGTTGGTGATGAACTTTTTATGATCTGAGGTGTGTCATACTAATTTTAAATATTAAAGATGCGTCAACTCTTTTATTTCAGTGCCTTCCTCTTTACTTTCAGGAATTGCCAGGTAACTGCAGAGGAAACTATAAGATTTAATGAAATGCCATGACCCTCTGTGCTTCCAGGAGACACCATGTCGTGGATTGAAACAGAAGAGTCTAAAAGCTATGATAATATGTATCAATATGATATGTCAGTGTACTATCTGATGGCATGGCACAGTCACTTCATTACACATTACACCACTTGGTCTTTCAAAATCATCAGTTTTTGTGGGATTGCATACCTTGGTGCTGTTGATATGCACATGTTTGGAATTAGGCAGCATTACCATGTTGAATCAATAGTTTATCCTGGCAACTTAAAGGCACAGAATGAATCACAGTAGAAGGCATGCTAGTAGGCAGAACATTGCCCCTCCCTCAGGAAAAAATGCGAAGTGTCTACACCCAGAAGTAAATCTTAAGAACAAATCCAATAAAATGCTTGCCCGGCATCTCTCATTCTGCTTCTAAACCAACAGCTGTGTTTAGATAAGTATGTTTAGTATTGGTTAACCTGTCTTTGGTTTTCCATTCAAGACATTCAGAAAATGTTGCAAAATACCAGCTGTAGTTCAGAGGGAAAACTGTCTTTCCTTGCGAATACTCACCAACAGCAGAAAGCACCCCAGAGAAGCTTGCACATGTACTTTTTTGGGTTTTTTTTAAATATTCCCTTGCAGCAATATGAAAAAGTCAGTTCTTCCTGCCCTAACCAGCCAGTCTTAGCACCTGAGGATTTCTGGGCTTGGGCACAGGTGCAGCTCCTGAAGAGCAGAGAAGTAGCAATGCTATTGTTTTCAGTCTAATGCTCCTCATGTTCCTCTCCTGTTCTCTTTCTGTGAAGAGGGCTGCATCCATGTCTAACTAATATCTTCCTTCTCCTTCCCAATGCTCCCCAAGGCCCTGGAAAAGGGCTTGTTACTGTCATGGTGATGTGGAAGAAATAGAGAAGTGTCAGGGTGCAGTTGTACTCTGCTATGACTTGGCTTTTTGGTATAGTGAGATCAGCTCTGGTGGGTGCCAGCTGCCAGCACTGTTCACAGAGGCACTGTAGGCCTCAAGTAGCACTTGCATGTGCCTGCGCAAGAAGTGTTTTCCTGTGCAGATATCAAGATACAGATTGCCAACTTGCCTTATCACCACAGTCATCTATCTCTAGTGTCATCCCCTCCCAAAGGCTCCCTTCTGTAGCCTTTTGAAGAAAATGCAGCAAAATTATTTTCCAGCTGATGTGGATAATAACATTTATTAGTGCATCCCTGTCTGCTTTTCCTGTAATTATAATACACTGTTATTCCAGGAACCATGGTTGTGAACTAGTACTTCAGGAGATGCCTTTGATTTCAGAAAGAGGACGGGATAGGTGTCAGACACGTATTGTTTATCTGCGTGTAGGTTCAAGCTTCTTTACCTTATATATCAGTCAGAAAACATCTTTACATTTGAGAGGAGCAGATTATTGCCATAATTTGCATCACAGATTCTTTATTATGTTGTTTTTTTTTTAAAGCAAAAGCTGGAACGGTTAGATCAAACTAACAAAACTTCTTTCAAAATAAACAAATAAGAAAACCTTTGCTCCTTTAGTATCAGGTTTCAATTGGAATAAATGTTAACAGCAAAGTTCAGTAATTCTTAGGCAAGAGGATGTTGGTCTAGTTCTAACTAAAGAGGCAGGAAAATGCTATAGCATATGACCAATTTTTGTGACAGTAATTTATCAAGTCTGCGGTGGTGGTTACACTTTCTTTACCCAGAATTAGGAAATTCCAGAAAAAAATATTTACTTAGATCTTCTAGCTCAGTTTTGCAGAATAATGGGCTGTATTAAAACCTCTTTTAATTTCTGATAATCCAGTGGGCTTCTTGTAGGTCACACTTCCTGAAAATTTCATCGTTAAATTTGCAAATATAATTAGTGAGTAGGTTTCTTGATACTTTCACAGAAACGCTGATTTCACGTAGTTGAGTGTGGTCAAACTTGTGCTTTCTCATTGTATCTTTATCTTACTGCCTTTATCAGGTACTCATTAATGAGTGAAGGATCAAAAGGTGGGACGGTGGCCAAGAAGCAATGGAGAATAAAAGTTTAGAAGGTTCCCCATCTGACCTAAAGTTAGTGGCTCATCCGAGAGCAAAGAGTAAAGTGTGGAAGTACTTTGGGTTTGATACCAATGCAGAAGGATGCATATTACAGTGGAAGAAGATCTACTGCCGTATTTGTATGGCACAGATTGCCTATTCAGGAAACACGTCCAACCTTTCCTACCACCTTGAGAAAAATCACCCCGATGAATTCTGTGAGTTTGTGAAAAGTAACACTGAGCAAATGAGGGAAGCCTTTGCCACAGCATTTTCAAAAATCAAGCCGGAGTCATCACAGCAGGTTGTTCAAGATAGCCTCATTATGAAGACCTACCAGAACTATGAAAACAAAAAACATCAGGAATTAACATCTGCAGTCATCAGCTTGATTTGCGAGGGCATGTATCCAGCCTCCATCGTTGATGAACCTACCTTCAAGGCCCTCTTGAGAACAGCGGACCCCAGGTATGAACTTCCGAGCCGGAAGTACTTCTGTACAAAAGCGATTCCTGAAAAGTACAGTGCTATTAGAGAAATTGTGCTGAAGGAGCTGACTGAGGTTCTGTGGTGTGGCATATCCACAGACATGTGGAGGAGTGAAAACCAGAACAGGTCGTATGTAACTGTGGCAGTTCACTTTCTCAGCAGCAGTCCTGCCAACTGCCTGGCTGTGAACTCGCGGTGTTTGAAAACTTTTGAAGTACCAGAGGATAACACTGCAGAGACCATTACACGAGTCCTTTATGAAACATTTATTGAGTGGGGGATCAATACAAAAGTGTTTGGTGCTACAACAGATTACAGTAAAGACATTGTAAAAGCTTGCTCTCTCCTAGATATTCCCGTACAGATGCCTTGTTTGGGCCACACTTTCAATGCAGGAATACAACAAGCTTTTCAGCTCCCCAAACTCTGCAACCTTCTTGCCAGGTGCCGAAAGCTGGTGGAGTATTTTCAGCAGTCTACGGTTGCAATGTACATGCTGAGTGAAAAGCAGAAGCAGCAGAATATTCTCCACTGCATGCTGGTAAGTGACCGTGTTTCCTGGTGGGGAAGCACGCTCGCTATGCTGCAGCGCCTCAAGGAGCAGCAGTTTGTCATTGCGGCTGTTCTCGTGGAGGACAGCAACAACCACCACCTCATGCTGGAATCCAGTGAGTGGAATACAATCGAAGGGCTTGTGGAGCTGCTCCAGCCTTTCAAGCAGGTTGCAGAGATGATGTCTGCTTCCAAATACCCGACGATAAGCATGGTGAAACCACTTCTCCATATGCTTCTGAATACAACTCTGAACATCAAAGAGAACGATTTGAAAGAAATCAGCATGGCAAAGGAGGTGATTGCTAAAGAGTTGTCAACCACCTACCAGCACACACCTGAGATAGACATGTTTCTCAATGTTGCAACTTTCTTGGATCCCCGCTACAAGAAACTGCCTTTTCTTTCAGCCTTTGAGAGGCAGCAGGTGGAAAACAGAGTGGTGGAAGAAGCAAAAAGCCTGCTGGAGAAAGTAAAAGAAAATAGCTTTAGAACTGAGGAGAAATTCTTCACTGTTTCAGAAGAGCCCCCTATGAAAAAAATCATCATCTCCTCTACTCCTCCTCCTACTAGTGTCATCAACAACATGCTTGCAGAGATCTTTTGCCAGACAGGAGGCGTGGAAGACCAGGAGGAATGGCATGCTCAAATCGTTGAGGAGTTGAGCAACTTCAAGTCACAAAAGGTCCTTGGTTTGAATGAAGACCCGTTGAAGTGGTGGTCTGACAGACTAGCACTGTTTCCAGTTTTACCAAAGGTTCTTCAAAAATACTGGTGTATTCTGGCCACGAGGGTCTTCCCTGAACGCCTTTTTGGTTCTTCTGCTAATGTTGTGAGTGCAAAGAGAAACCGGTTGGCCCCAGCTCATGTGGATGAGCAGATCTTTTTGTATGAGAACAGTCGCAATGGGTCTGAGGCAGAACCGGAGGATGAAGATGAAGGAGAGTGGGGTTTGGAACAGGAACAGATTTTTAATTTAAATGACTCGGTAAACATAAACAATAATTTCTTTAATATTCGAGACAGTGGGTTTGTTTAACAGGACTGCTGCGGTACGTTTAATGACAAAGAAAAGAGGTATTTGTCTTAAGTTACCAAAAATTCTTCTGTTTTATGCTATGAATGCTGTAAATATTGAACAGTTGTAACAAACTTGATTTAGCTTCCATTGTCTGTGTTTTTCCCACTGTCTTAAAACATGAATGACTTGTGATCAAACAGCACTGAAGTTAATGAGGAAATAAATTCTACAAAGACCGTGGTTTCTGACTGTGGCCCAGATTTCAGAAAGCACTTATCCATGTGCTTCCTTTCCACTTGTTTCATTAGGAGACAAACACATGCTTATGTGCTTTCTATCATAAAATTATTTTCCTGAGTTAGGACCTTGAGGAAGTTTTTAAAATTTATGCCTCCATTTGTAAATCCTGTGTGACTCAGGATAATAGCTTTAAATTTTGGATTTTAAAATGTTTTTTAAAATCCATAGATCTGAACAGTGAATATTTTTAGAATATATTGTTGGTATGGAATGAAAAAAATCTTGAGCCTGATTTTCACTACCTCATGTCTTAGGTCTGGTCTATGCTAGAAAAGTTCAGCCGGTATAATTCTGTTGGTTAGGAGACTGATGTGTTATTATTTTAACTGATACTGTGCTGGCATAGGCTGTAGTGTGGATGCATTTATACCAGGATAATTTATTTTCCTTTCCAGTGCTGTGTAAATGGTATAAACACTTAAACTGGTATTACTGTGTTCACATTAGTCCAGTTTTACCATTTAACTGCAGCTAAATGGCAAAATTGGTTTCTTGTTTGTTTTGCTTTGTGTCTAAGCAAGCCCTGATTGTAGTCTCTTGTGCTTTTGCAAAGTGGGAACCAAGTGTGGGGTTGAGACAGTGTTGTGTTACCTTGACCTTGTGCTGATGCCATGTGGTGTGTAGCAGTCAAGGCATCAGCACTTTGGTTAAGGGAGAGGGGGAAGGAGAGGGCAGGGAGACGTCTACAGGCCACGGGTCTAACGGTTTGTCTGTGTTATAAAATCCTTAACCTCTTCATTTAATGGGGTCTTTGCCCAGGGTAGCTAGAATATTTTGTTGGCAAGAAAAGCAAAATAAAAAGCTTTAATATTATGTAAATATATTTAAAAGAAGGGGACCCCTCCATTTTCTCTGATGTATTTAGTGAATCTTTAAAATTGTTTTTTGTTATGTTAGCACTTAACAACTTCTTTCACCTGTCTCTTTTCAATTCAGTTTGTAGAGTGGACTTTGGTCCTTCCCAGTCTAATGTTTGAGTACTGTTTCCGATTAGTTGTGTATTGTAACTGCTCCCTTTGTGTCTCCAAGCATAAGTTTTTTAAGCCCTTTTGAGAACTTGACAAACAAGGAGAAAGAAAGGAAACCAACCTGAGACACGCCCCCTCCCCCCCCCCCCCCCCC